GCACATAGGGTGATCAGTGGTTCTGATAAGGGACATCTTCGTGGTGTTGAGTCCAAAACTGAAGACAATGGCCTTAAGAGGGAACTTGATCAAATGTGGGAGGTGTTAACTGATGTGTCTTCTAAGTTAGAAAGGAGTTTGGCTGTTGAGAAGAAAACCGATTCTAAAAACGTGAAACCGAAGAAACAAAGCACCTCTAATCAGAGAATGTTGCAAAAAAAAAGAACGAAACTAAGAAAACCGGGAAATCTGATACTCTAAAAAGCTCAGACCCCCCCCCTCCCCCGATTTGGCCCGCCAAATGAAACCGGGTTACATATAACGTGCTATGTGAATACCGTGCCGGAGCTTGTCATGTTGCGTTAGCTGAAAACGTGCGTATCCCCACTAGACAAGAAATAGTGGTGAAAGGTGCTATACCCAAGAAGTGTGTGTGGGTTTATGACAATGTGGATGTAGTACTAGAACCCAGGACAAATCTATTGGAAAAGTATTCTGTGATTCCTGCGAAAGTGGTATGTCATCCATCATTATGCAAACCATGGATACCTGTTCGACTCATAAACACAAATGAACATGATGTTTTCTTATACAAGAACACTAGTCTCAGTGAAGTTGAACCTGTAGATATCGTAGAACATATTCCTGGGGTAACGATGTCGTGCAATAATGCTGGTGAACGTGGACATAGCTTACCCCCCTAATTGGATTTGTGGGAAAGGGCCAATGTTGGATTAAATGACCTGCAGTCTCGACAAGTATTGCATCTGTTGTCTAAAAATAAAGACTTATTTGTGTCAACTTCCATGGGTCTGGGTAAAACCAATTTGGCCAAACACCAAATCGAGATGCTAGATAATGCACCTATTAAACAAAGGCCTAGGCGCGTGGCTTTGCATCAGAAGCATGAGATAGACCGCATGGTGAATGAAATGTTAGAGAAAAAAGTGATTGAACCGTCCCTTGCACGTTTGAAAGACTTATGGAGACTGTGTTACATTGCCTGCAATGGGATATTTGTCTAGTCTATTTGGACGACATTATTATCTTTTCTCATAGCTTTTCTCAGCACATGGATAGGATCGCAATTGTCTTGGACAGGTTGAGATGTGCAGGGCTTAGATTGAAGGCATCTAAATGCAACCTGTTCAAGGAGGAAGTGTATAATATTGGCCATGTTGTTTCGTCGCAAGGAATATCTACGGATCCTGAGAAAATAAACTGTGTGAGAAATTGTAAGATCCCGACTAATCTGACCCAGGTTAGAAGTTTTATGAGGTTGTGCAGCTATTATCGCCGGTTTATCGACGGATTTTCCGAATTAGTTAAACCCCTGAATAGATTGACAGAGAAAGGAAGGGAGTTCCTGTGGACAGGTGAATGTGAAGCATCTTTTGATGCCCTAAAGCGGAAGCTAACGGAAACGCCCATCTTAGCTTTCCAAGATTCCTCAAAGCGGTTCTTAATTGACACGAACGCGAGTGGATACGGGATAGAGGCTGTCGTGTCACAGCTTCATGATGGTAAAAAACGTGTAGTGGCTTACGGTAGGCGTGCTTTGACAAAGACTGAACTAAATTAAAATGTGACCAGGAAGGAACTTCTACCGGTAGTGTATTTCGTGAACTATTTCAAGGCTTGCCCGGAGGGCCCAGTCGAAAGATGGATGATTTTGACATCGAACATCGTCCTGGGAGAGTGCATAATAATGCTGATTCATTATCTCGTGCACCTTGTGTTAGTGAAAGTGAGAAAGTAATCGATCTGATTGGAGCGGATACTACTCAATTAAGTGAAATGCGGCACAAGGACCCGGATATCTTCCTCATTATTCAATGGGTAAAATCGAAGGAGAAACCAAAGTGGAATGTGTGTGTGTGTGTGAGAGAGAGAGAGAGCGAGAGAGAGAGAGAGAGAGAAATGGGGTTTAACGTCCACTCGACACAAACTAGGCCACCTCGGGACCAACATATGTTTTTAATTTTATTTCAATAATTCGCTTGCGTGTAGGGGTCTTTAGCAGTGGGGGGAAACCGGAGGACTCGGAAAAAACCCACGAGGTTGGACAGGCGACCCTACTCCTTGCCACGTACAACCGGGGATTCGAAATCACGCCAGTTGACTCAATGACAGGCTTTATGATAACAGCGCGCACGTGCTTACCATCCGGTATCCAACTCCCCAAAGTGTAGTGTTATTTCTCCTTAAAAAGCCCTGTAGTTAAGAAATTGATGACCAAATGCAATTCATTTGTTTCCGAAAATAATTAATTGTATGTGAAGAGTGTTGACGGAAGTCGTGGCGTGAAACGAGCCGTTGTACTGAGTAACTCACAGAGGGGAAGTATTCTGTATGTCCCACGACATTCCGACTGGTGCACACCTTAGTATTCATAAGACAGTGGAGAAAATAAAGCAAGGATATTACAGGAATACATAAACACTTCATAATACTACTGCTGACCTTGATGGTGATGCCATGGACAGTGACCATAGTGACCTGGACTTTAATTTGGATATCCAGGGGTTTTCTCCAAGAGTTAGCCAACGGGGTAGGACGGCACGTCCCCCGAAACACTTTGGCGCTTACATAATGTGCGCCTCTTCTTTTGCAGGGGACAGAATGGCTTCCTCTACAAGATCACTTTCATGTGATATCTGTGCTGGCGCCACATTTGTGACCAAGTCTAAATTCAATAGACATTGTGCTGGTGCGCGTCATCGACTTTTGGTTTTAGAGATAGAGAAGATTAGAAGGGGGAGGGGGGAGAGGAAGCAGAACGAGGAGACAAAGGATGTGAGAAGAAGCGAGAAGAAGAGTGTGACGATGACTTTGAGAGACGTTGAAGAAGACAAGAAGAAGAACGAGACGAGGACTTTCAGAGCAACTGAAGAAGACAAGAAGGAGAATGAGACGAGGACTTCCAGAAAAGCTGGAGATGAACGAGACGAGGACTTTGAGAGAAGATGAAGAAGACAGGGAGGCTGAGAAGAGGAGTCCCAGAGTCGTTCTGACCTCATTACCTATCCGCATGGTTCAACCGGTTACTCATGACGATCTAGGAGAGGAACCAAAGTTAGATTTTTTATTGGAATGTGGTATTCAGCAATCTTGGGCTTCCGAGTACAGTGATGTGAATGAGGCGGAAGAGTTGTTGGAAGAGATAGAGGCTATGTCTGCCGCTGTGAAAAGTGAGGAATGTGTTGAAGAGACGAAGAGAGGGGTACAGGTTACGCCCCAGACAGCTGACAAAGAAACGCAGGTGGTGATGGGGAATTTTACCAGGATCAGCCGATATGAGGTGAGAGAAGAGGGAGGTGGAATTACCCGGACGGTCGAGAACCGGGAGGACTGACACCGAGGGGTACCTACAGAGAGCACACATTATCCGACAGGAGGCAATGGGACCGTCACGCAGCTGAACCTAACCGTTTTCCGGTGTGAACTGTGTATTGTTTGATTTTAATGTTTTAATCATGTTTTGTGTACTTCGTTTTTTTTTAACCAATAGGTCAATGCGGGACGCATTGGACGGAGGCGTGGGTAATGTGATGATCCGAAATTTCTGTGACTAGTAATAGTATTACGCTTTTATGTATATTTGGCTTTAAATTTAATTACGGATTTCGTTTGGTTTTTAAAATTATCTCTTTGGCTTTTTGTCTCACCTTGCCTACGGCTTCGTCGGTTATTTATTTTTAAATCTAATTTTAATGTAATCACTGTTCATTGTATTTGTTTTATCGGTAATCCTTGGGGTTTTTTTATCGTTCGCTGTATTGTCCTGTATTGTTTATAGTTAATCGATCTACTTCCGTCTCATTGAGCATGTGTGGTGCGCACTATTTAAGAAGTGACAACTAGTCTGTCGGGGATTCGGATGTAGGATTTCAAGGTGAGAGGTCGCTTGTTACTTCTTGTGTCTGGATACGTGACCATTTCTTGGGCCGTGTTCTTCTAGTTACCTTTACCGTAATCTGTTCTTCTGCTCATACGTTGGTCGACACTTGTACGCCCTAGTGTCTCAGTGTTAACCAGTGTGTTCTATTGGAATGCAGCGGGTGGCCGCGAACGTGTCTCGTGGGTCAAGTCATTTTCTTGGCTTTGCGTACAACGCACTTGACGTCAGCTGTGGGTTGGTCGCATTATATTTGTGGATTGGAGGCTGTCCCTTCCCATTTATGCATAACTAACTCCCACTCGTGTGTCCACTCTGAGTAAGCCTTTTATAGGTTTAGATTTGTGTCAACTTTAGGCCTCTATTGGTATAGTGAAGTGCCTTATTTTATACTCGGTCCCAGTGTATTTACCAGTTGATTATTTGTGTGATATTCATATTGTTGGATTATTTGTACATGTATAGGTTTATTTGTTAAAAGGATTACCGGGATACCGATTCTACATTGTTAATATTATTGTTGTTTTTTTATGCTTTTATATTTTTATATATAAAGTATCACCTGGATAATCTTGTGTTTTTGTCTTATTGAAACTAGAACGAGAGAATTTGGGGATCTTTACACGTCAAAACATTGACACAAATTCAGGGTCTCGGGTCTGGCAGTATATGAGTATAGTCACTTTTGAGCTGACACTTGCCCCCGTTTCCTCCGAAGAGTAGCTGTGGTCCGAAGGGTAGACCGAAAACCCACGTCCCTTGGATTCCCGCCCCCTCCATTGCATAAAGAGTTAGGCGGTAGGTTGGCCCAATCGGACGCTACACATCAAATCCTCGACTAAGTTATTTTCTGCTTGGACTAAGATAAGGAATTTGATTGCTAGATGCTTTATAAAAAGACAAATGTTCGATTATTTAATATGTGTCATCTAATAATTTTGAGATTTCTGCAGCCAGGACATCAGCTTCACTGTTGGCTTGTTTAATTACATTTAATCATTTTCAAGAAAATGATCCAATTTTCCTCAACCTGTTTTGAATTGATCAAGTCAATTATGTTAGTATACATTTCCAGTGTTTTTCTTAAACAATTATAACTTACTTTTTCTAAGCGTTGTTTTTCCTGTTCTGTTTTTCCTTGTTCTTCTAACTGTTTTATTCTTTGTTCTTCCATCAATCTCTCTTCTTCAAGTAATATGTTTTGTCTGTAACAATTGATTTACCATATATTATTTATGAGGAAAATGTACTTTGAGCATTATTGATATGTCAATGGGAAACCTGAAAATAAGTATGGGTTCTGTCTGGATAATTGTAACAAATCATTTGTTTAATGGGGTTAACGTCCATTCGACACAAACTAGGTCATTTCGGGACTAACATGGTTTAATTTTATTTCAATAATTCGCTTGCGCGTAGGGGTCTTTAGCAGTGGGATGAAACCGGAGAACCCGGAGAAAACCAACGAGGTTGGACAGGCGACCCTACTCCTTGTCACGTACAACCGGGGATTCGAAACCACGCCAGTTGACTCAATGACATGTTTACATACACCTCCGACACCATTCTGCAAGAATTCCACTCTTAACCCTTTTAGGTGGCAATTTTTCGAAACTGGTGAACCACTGTGGGGGAATTAGTTTTAGTGAATAAATTATTATATCTTTACAACTATGTTATCAAAATTCACCGTACTTGGTGAGACATATGTTTATACACCACATTACTTGAAAATGTAAAAACTTTGTAATTGGAACAATTTTACCCAGGTAAATATAGGTGTGGCTCAGGTAAAAATTATAAACCAAGATAAAAACATATTTTTTTTGCTCAAAAATTTATTAATTTAAGTAAAAACAAAATAAATAGTGAATTTTGGAAACAACAAGTAAAAATTTAAAAAAAATAAAATGGAGTATCACAGGTGAAAATACAGGTAAATTGAGGTGTACTAAGAAATGTACAAATTGTCACCAAATTTTTCACCAACCATTTTAAATCAAAACATTTCAAATGATAATAACTGTAACAGCAACAACAATGGCGAAAACTGCATTTACAGGTAAATTCAGATGTAATAAATAAATAAGCAACTTGTGTATACCATTTCTTCAATTTAAATGAAACCTAACGGGATAAAAAAAAATCTTTGTGAACAAACCAATATTTAGTTGAGAGGATTATTTGATCAAAATTGCATTGTATTAAAGCAATTAGCATAGACCTTTTCAACAGTTTCAAAGAAAAAAGAAAACTTTACAGAAATATCAAAAAACTAATAATAATATTTGATCAAAATTGCATTACAAGTGAAATACAGGTGCAACTAATGAACACATTTTCAATCACCAATTACAAAAAATATCAACAATCAATAATATCATTTGATCAAAGTAGTGTCACAGGTGGAAATACAATTAAATTGAGGTGTACTAAAAAATGTACAATTTGTCTCCAATTTTTTCACTAACCATTTTAAATAAAAATATATCAAATGGTAACAACTATAACAGCAACAACAATGGTGAAAACTGCACTTACAGGTAAATACAGGTAAATTCAGATATAATAAATAAATAAGCAACTTGTGTACACCATTTCTTCAATTTCAATTAAACATAACAGAATTAAAAAAAAATAACTTTTAATGAATTCAATATTCAGTTGAGAAGACTATTTGATCAAAATTGCATCACAGGTGAAATACACATAGGCTTACAATTCAAGAGTATTAATGCAATTAGCTACATATTTTCAGCAGTTTCAAGGAAAACAGAAGAATCTGCAGAAATATCAACAATCAAATTATAATATTTAATCAAAATTGCATTACATGTAAAATACAATTGCAATTAATGAACACATTTTCAATCACCAATTACAAAAAATATCAACAATCAATAATTTCATTTGATCAAATTGCATTACAGCTATAATACTCATACCAGTATATTGGTAATACTAAATGTTTTCTTCATTTTCAGATAAACTATATGAACTTTACATGTAGCAAAATATTGGCAAACGACACAAGTTCATGTTTTCACTTTACTAAACAAATTAATCATTTTATAACAATACACAGTTATCATTTTTATTAGATATGTTGACAAGAAACTGTAATCAAAATCCAGCGTGATAAATGTTTTCTCCATTTTCAGATAATAAACTATTTATACATGCAGTAAAATATTGGCACCCTTTTACAAAAAAGTTATAGTCACAAATACTGAAGCTTTCAATAATTAACATGTTTATTTTAGTTTAAATGATAACCAGGAAACATCTGCGGCATAGACCCACTCTACGCCATGTGGTTATACGCGTACCTTTAAACCCTACATCCCTTGATTGTGCACAGCTCACACACTGTTTACGCTTTTTATCAGGAATAGATTCTAGGTAATGTTGTATGCTAGAAAGTACTCTGTTTTGAGTTGTGAGGCTGGGACGACCAATTTTTCGGCGTGGCTGTTTATAGCCATTTATAAGTCCATCAACTAACTGGATCATGAAGTTAAGATGATTTAGTTTTTTTCCATTTATATTCTTATTGTTCTTATAGCACACATATGCATTAGTAACAGTTCTGTCAATAAGATGGAAGACAACTTTTCGCCTGCACTTTACAGTTCTTAATTCTGCTGCATAATGATCTGTCATTTGATCACTAAGGTCTACCCCTCCCATACTGTGATTATACTCGTTCACTAACTGAGGAACGAGTCTGTTGTCTTTCTTAGTTAGCTTGACATCATTAGCGATTGTCTACAATTAAATGATGATACTTTCCACCGTGGTTTCTCAACAATTTATCACATACATCATATGGCTGTCCATATTGTGAAGTTTTTATACTTGATGTGTGGTATAAGGTCTGATACAAATATCCAGCCCTAGAATCAGACAGGTTATATTCCTTTGGTCCCCACTGATGATGTTTTTTAATTCTTATGTAGTTCACAAGATCCTGTCTGCCCTTAAAACCAACTATGCTTTCATCTATACTTATGTTACATGACAGAAATGGTCTAAAACGGACTGAAATTTGTAAATAGGATTATAATTAAAAGTTCCCTTTTTCGGCTCCATCGAACTGTCGCTGACATGAAAACAACGAAGGAGTAGTTTAAAACTTTCATACGCGAAGATTGGTGTCTCTTGGGATAAGTCTTTCACATTCCAATACTGTTCTAATGTATGCTTTCGTACTAAGCCCATATTTATGATCAACCCGATAAACGCTCTCATTTGATGTACATCAGTTGGAATCCATAAATGCAGTCTAGATCTGGGCGGTATTTTTATATTTATCATATCTATAATCTACATTGAAAGTATTTGTTTGTTTCGTCTACAAAAAACTGCCAAAGAGATTTATTATTTGTAAAATTGGTTGATTCAAAACAATTATCAAAATACTTCACAGGTTCATGACAGTTCTCTGGATTCCACACAGGACCGGACACGGCTGTAAAATCACGTAAGATTGGGGGCCTGTCATTTTGCCTATCATTCACATGTATCCAAATGTCGTCTAATTGGTCTTCTGTACCAAAATTATTATCTTGATGTACTAGTGAAGTAGTGTTTCAACGTCATTAGGCCTAATATTTATCGTCGACTCCATCGAGCATCTTCTTGGTTTGTTTACATTTATATCTCTTTCTTGACAATCTCGATCTGATTCACTTGAATCTGACTCGTATGCAGACAGTTCATCAATGTCAATAACGCTGCCACTGTCAGACGAACAATTTTCTTCATCAGAAATATGGATCATGTCAACAACATCGTCTACAGTAAACGTATTAGGGCGAGGACGCTTACGGGGTTTCGTGGCAGACGCCATGTTATTGACAGCCCCAGGCCGTCTATTTATGTTATCGCTAAGTAACGGTAATATCCGGCTTCAAATCAAAAGGAGGCAGACCATCATTAATTTCTTCATTGACTCCAATGTTAAATCAGTGGTGTTCTACATGCTGTAGCCCATTCACTAAATTTCGTTGAGAACTTTGCTTTACAGCACAGCAAGTATGACATCATGGGATCATCAGAGTACTAAATTTGTATGAGGTTGACCACCAAAATTTCAATTCACTGAAATTCATAGCAGACTGGGGTCAGAATATCATGTCCGTGTTAGTGCAAAAACAAAACAAAGTTTCTTTACTCCTTGTAGTCTTCCGCCTTAAAAGTCTCAATCTGACACCAAACCAGGCAGAAAATAGAAATGCAATGCCTCTTCATCAATTCTACACCAAAAAGTCAATACAGATAAGCATGCAAAATGGCAGGAAAGGGGGAGAAAAATATATCTAAAAATAGCCGTCACTACAATTTGTGGGTACCGAGATATGGAAAATTATTGGTGGTCTGCCTCCAAAACAATATAAGAGTTACCGTTCTTATAAATTATTAGATCATGCATTTCTTTCACCCATTAGTCGATAAAAATAGAATTATCTCATACAGCCAATCGTGTACATTGTTACTTTGGCGACTTGCGGTGAAACGACATTAATGTCGCTATCCCCGTAAAGCGCGTGTGTCGGAAAACAACATTAATGTCGTTATGTAAGCACTGGGTGCAGTCAAATTGCTTAACACTAAATTATGCATGTAATATCTTGCGTGTGATTATTATACCCCAGGTTATGGTGGCTGATTGGTATCATGTCGTGATGTCGCCCTTCACAACGCGACAAACCGGCATCTTAACCCGACACCACGACAACCCGACATTTTGATGTTGTATTGTCGAGTTAAAATTTTGTAATGTCGGGTTGTCGGGTTAATGTCCATATTCCTCTTAATACTATGATTATGTACATTGATCCTGGTGTTGGTCAAGAAAGTTCCCCGGGATGTTGTAGCATGGTTCTCCCTGTCCATAGTGCAGGACAAAGGGCCTGGCAAAAAACAGTGTCTAGTTGTGTAGATGGGACAAAGAACAAGCTCATGTGTACACATAAAAGAATCCTTCACAGTTGATATTCGATGAAGAAATGCCACGGGCCATTGAAAATTTCCGTCATATCACCATGCCAGTCCAAAATTACGTCGTTTTAATTCACATATATTCCTATTAAAATTGTTCGATCCCTGCATTGGCCGAGAAAGTTCATCCAGATTTTCCGACGTGGTTTTCCCTTGTCAGTGATACAGGACGGAGGGCCTGACAAGGACAGCTGTCTAGTCC